ACGCGCCGAGTGGGAGGATGGAGCCGCGGGCGCCGTGGATGCAGCAGCCGTGGGTGGAGCGGGAGGACCCGGGGTATTGGGACCGGGAGACGCAGAACAGCAAGGGAGCCGCACAGACTTTCCGAGTGGACCTGCAGACCCTGCGCGGCTACTACAACCAGAGCGAGGACGGTGAGCCGCGCCGGGCCCCTCACGACCCCCCTCCCCGCGGACGGGCCGGGGTGGCCCTGAGGGTCCGGGTCCGAGCGTCACCCCGAGGCGGCGGGACCCGCCCGGCCCCCACCCCCGGGAGGAGCCCGCGGGGACTGTGACCCGATTTCACTTTCAGTTTTAGATTCAGGCCCCGCGGGGCGGGCGGCGGGCTGACCTCGGGGCGGGGTCAGGGTCTCACACCATCCAGAGCATGTATGGCTGCGAGGTGGGACCGGACGGGCGCCTCCTCCGCGGGTACCGTCAGGACGCCTACGATGGCACCGACTACATCGCCCTGAACGAGGACCTGACCTCCTGGACCGCGGCCGACATGGCGGCTCAGATCACAAAGCGCAAGTGGGAGGCGGCGGGTGAGGCAGAGCATCACAGGAGCTACCTGGAGGGCCTGTGTGTGGACTATCTGCGCATGTACCTGGACAAGGGGAAGGAGACCCTGCTGCGCGCAGGTACCAGGGGCCCCGGGGCCGCCCCCCTCCCCGAGGGCTGGGGCTCCTACAAGGAGACAGGACAGGGGGTCAGTGTCAGACCCCCTCCTCGGGGTCAGGGAGGGGGATTGCCCTGGATGTCCATGTCATGTTCCAGAGGGACTGGCCCTCCTCTCAGGGACAGGTAGGGGTGCAGGCTCTCGGGGTGCAGAGAAACCCCCCCCCTACAATAGCCCATAGGGGTTTCCAGGGGTCCTGCAGGGGATCTGGGACCCACCCGGCCCTTCTCTCTCTGGCCTTGTGCTCTGCCCCACACCCCTTGTGTCTGAAGCCTGACCCCAGCTTTTCTGAGTCATGTGTCCTCCACCAAGGTCAGGACCATTTCTGCCCCCAGAGACCTCCTACCCTGGGCTGTGTCTCTCTGATTCTAGAACTTTCTAAAGACTAGGAGGTCCTTCCAGTGTCTCTGTCCAGGCTGGTGTGTTGCTGTGTGGTCCCTCCCAATCCAGGTGTCTGTCCACTCTCAGGATGGTCACATGGGCGCTGCTGGAGTGTCCCATGGAGGATGCAAAGCTCCTGCATTTTCTCCCCTCCCCTCAGAGCCTCCCAAGGCACACGTGAGCCACCACCCCGTCTCTGCCCGGGAGGTCACCCTGAGGTGCTGGGCGCTGGGCTTCTACCCTGCGGACATCAGCCTGACCTGGCAGCGTGACGGGGAGGACCAGACCCAGGACATGGAGATGGTGGAGACCAGGCCTGCGGGGGACGGCACCTTCCAGAAGTGGGCGGCCGTGGGGGTGCCCCCTGGAGAGGAGCACAGATACACGTGCCATGTGCAGCACGAGGGACTGCCCGAGCCCCTGACCGTGAAATGGGGTGAGGAGGGCCGTGGGCACAGAGCCTCTTCTCAGGGCAGCGGGGCCCTGGGGGACCTCAGTGGAGTGAGGGCTGAGGCCTGGAGTCAGGGCCCTCACCCTCCCTTCCCTTCTCCTACCAGAGCCGCCTTCTCACACCATCTTCATCATCCTGGGCATCGCTGGGGGCCTGGTCCTGCTGGGAGCTGTGGCTGGAGCTGTGATGTGGGGGAGGAGGCGCTCAGGTGGGCAGGGGTGGGGTCTGAGTGTCTGTCCCACTGGGGGTTCAAGCCCACGTAGAGGTTTGTCCCCCTCATTCCCGGGAGCTCCATCCCCACATGTGTGATGGCCAGTGTGGGGCTCTGTGCTCACACTGACTCTGTAGTGAGGCCCGTGGGAAATGAGGGGCCCACTTCTAACCTGATGATGCTGGTGGTGGGGACCCGGTTCCCAGCAGCCCCAGGTCAGAGGGCAGGTCCCCGCTGAGCACAGACCTCCAGGAGGGCGGTGGGTCCAGTCCCCATACATGTCCTTCAATTATGTGTCCAGGTCCTGCCCTGGGTCTGTACATATGCTTCTGGAAACTTCTCTGGGCCCAGGACTAGGGCTTCCTCTAGGACCTTCTGGCCCTGCCTCCTCCCTGGTCTCTCACGGGGTGTTTTCTTCCCGCAGGTGGAAAAGGAGGGAGCTATGCTCAGGCGGCCAGTGAGTATGGGGGTGACCCCTGAGACCCTGTGACAGTGCAGAGGGAGCCATAGGGGACCCCTGCCCCATAGTTCCTCTTAGTTCCTACCCTGGGGCTCTGACCCCTTCCCTGGTTTGTCCCCTCCAGACAGTGACAGCAGCCAGGGCTCTGATGTGTCTCTCTCGGCTTCTAAAGGTGAGACCTGCCATGGGGAGGGGTGGGCAGGGGGTGGGGGTGCTGGGCGATGGTTAATCTGTGAAACACTGTGAGCATGAAGTGGGTTTGAGAATGTCACCAGCACAGCCACTGCCCTGAACCTGCTCATGATGATTGTCCTCCACAGCGTGAGGCCGCTGCCCTGTGGGGACTGAGTGATGGAAGGTGTGTTCCCGCTCCCACTTCCTGACTCAGGACCCTCTGATGGGGGCTGGCCAAACCCTGCCCCCCACACTTTCCTGTCAGCAGAGGTGGCTGGGCCCTCCGCGTCCCCATCCCTGCCTTTCCTCCCTGGTGCTCTGAGCTGCCACTTCCTGCTCCGGATTGAAATGAGACTGTGCATTGACTGATTCTTCGATTCTTGCCAAGAATGCCTGGGGGTTAATTAAAGGGGAAGCTCCTACATTCTACATGGAAATAAATTGGAGCTCCAAGAACTTTCCAGGTCCCGTGTGTTTGCTGTGCTGAGCCTATCGCAGGCGGGATGGGATGGGTGATGAGGGCAGAGCGTGGACCGGGCCTGGGCCTGGTCAGTGCTCAGTGCATCGTGGGCTTTGACGTGGTCACCCCTCGGCCGGGTCACCTCTCTGCTCCTCTGACCTTTTCCCTCAGGGGAACCCTGTCCCACCAGGGCCTGTGGTCACAGGGACTCCCATCCCCCAGGCCTTGTCACGTGTCCTAAAGCAGCGCATCTCCAGGACCTTGGACAGCGAGCCTTCCTGGGGCAGGTCAGCCTGGGCTCAGGCCTGGGCTGCCCTCCACCCTCCTCCCCTGGGTGTTGGTAGTTGCTTTGCTTTGGTGGGTGTTATGCCTGTCCCTGTTCTTCGGTGTGAGTTCTGGCCTCACTCTCTGGGCAGCAGGAGGCATGTTGCCCGTCACTGTCTCACAGGCCCAGGGTCCCTGCTCACAGGAGCCCCTGGTGTGGAGCTGGGTGTTCAGGCTCTTCCTGTTCCTGCCTCCTTGTGGGCCTGGCTGTTCTTCCGTCTTTCCCTGAGCTCTCCGAGAGTTTAGCAGGAGCGGGATACTGCCTCTGAGGGCAGTTCCTGCTGGGACTGAGCCCTGCCTGCCATCTCTCTCCCGTCCTTCCCTCTAGTACTGGCCCCACTGGGACCCGAATGTGGGGAGAGGCTGCTGTAGGTTTAGGGGAGCAGCGCTGTGGAACTGCGGGTTCAGTGAGGCCCAGGGGGCACCCTGAGCCCCAGCTGCCCCAGGACAGCTGTGCTGGGGCCACAGCCTTCCCGGGCCCGCGCCCCGCCGGGTCCCCGCGCTCCTCCCGCACAGCCGCCCCCTCGAACCCCGCACTCACCGGCACGGCTGGGGAGCAGGACCAGCGCCCCCGAGAGCAGCAGGAGGAGGGTGGGGGGCCTCTGCACCCGCATCCTGGCTGTTTGGGGGGCGTCTGAGTCCGGGCGCTTCCGCGGAGGACTTATAATCGGGAGCCGCGGGACGCTGATTGGCTGCTGTGGAAACGGCTCAGGCAATGGGCGTGGGAGATGGGAAAAGGCGCCCAAATCTTGTTGACACAATAGGAGGTTTTCAGATCAAAGATTGAGTTCCTGATCAAAGAGGTAATTGGAAAGCAAGGTTTTACTGAGAAGGCAGGCGCTGGCGTCAGACCTCAGACACAGGCCTTGTCTGGAACAGCAGGGAGGGGACCCAAAGAGGTCTGTCTATAGGGTGGAGGGAGCTGTCTGTCTATAGGGTGCAGGGAGCTCTCCATATATATATATGTTTTTTTTTTAAAGGAAGGACTTGTTCCAGTGAGGTGTCATTGGGAGCCCAAGCTCCATTCGCTTCATGAGCCCCCATTGTATTTGAGACACCGGAGGACCTTCCCCTTTGGAAATGACCTTTAGAACATTCTTTTTAAAAAGTATTTTTTATTAATTTTTTACAGAGAGGAAGAGAGAGTTAGAAACATCCATGAGAGAGAAACTTCAATCAGGTGTCTCTTGCACACGGGATGTGCCCACAACCAAAGTACATGCCCTCAGCTAGGATCAAACCTGGGACCTTTCAGTCCGCAGGCCGATGCTCTATCCACTGAGACAAACCAGGTTCTGCTGGCTATACAACATTCTTCATCCAGGCCCTTTCAGAATTCCAGCCTTTCAGCTGTGTTCCTCCCAGGTGCTCTCGAGGTGACATTTCCAGGCATCTGGAAGGACCTTCTAGTCTTTAGAAAGTTCTAGAATCAGAGAGACACAGCCCAGGGCAGGAGGCATGTCTCTGAGGAGAATGTAGGGATTTGTGGTCCTGACCTGGTGGAGGCCACGTGACTGATGAAAGCTGGGGTGAGGCCTCAGACACAGGGGGTGTGGGGCAGCGCACAAGGCCTGGGAGAGAAGGTCCCTGTGGGTCCAGAGCCCCTTCAGGGCCCATGGGAACGGCTGATGGGCTATCGCATGGGGTCTCACTTCACCCCAAAAGATTCTGCACCCCTGACTGTTTACAGAGCTGGGGGAGTCCCTCTGGAACCTGACCTGGACATCTTGGGGGACCCCCTCCCCGACACCGAGGAGGAGTGTCAGACACAGACCCCCTGTCCTGTCTCCTTGTAGGAGCCCCAGCCCCGGGGAGAAGGGGTGGCCCCAGGACCCCTGGTACCTGCTTGCTGCAGGGTCTCCTTCCCCTTGTCCAGGTACATGCGCAGTGAGTCCACACACCAGCCCTGCAGGTAGCTCCTCCTTAGCTCGGCCTCACCCACCGCCTCCCACTTGCGCTTTGTGATCTGAGCCGCCATGTCGGACGCGGTCCAGGAGGTCAGGTCCTCGTTCAGGGCGATGTAGTCGGTGCCATCATAGGCGCATTGATTGTACCCGCGGAGGAGGCGCCCGTCCGGTCCCACCTCGCAGCCCGACATCCACTGGATGGTGTGAGACCCTGACACGGCCCGGAAGTCAGCCGGCCACGCCCGCCCCGCGGGGACTGAATCTAAAACAGGTGAAACTGTGTCACAGTCCCTGCGGGCTCCGCCCTGTGGAGGGGGAGGGCGGGTCTAGTCTTTCGGGGTGACACTAGGACCTGGACTCTCGGGGCGACGCTGGCCTGTCCAGGGGGAGGAGGGACGTGAGGGTCCCGGCGCGCGGCTCACCGTCCTCGCTCTGGTTGTAGTAGCCGCGCAGGGTCTGCAGGTTCCCTCGGAAAGTCTGTTCAGTCCCCTTGCTGATCTGTGTCACCTCCTCCCAATACCCCGGGTCCTCCCGCTCCACCCACGGCTGCTGCATCCGCGGCGCCCGCGGCTCCACCCTCCCACTCGGCGCGTCGCTGTCGAACCGCACGAACTGCGTGTCGTCCACGTAGCCGACGGCGAGGAAGCGGGGCTCCCCGCGGCCGGGCCGGGACACGGCGGTGCTGAAATATCTCAGGGAGTGGGGGCCTGGGGCGGGCGGAGGGCAGGGCCGGGCTGGACACGCGCCTTCCGGGCCCGCGCCCCGCCGGGTCCCCGCGCTCCTCCCGCACAGCCGCCCCCTCGGACCCCGCACTCACCGGCCCCGCTGGGGGGCAGGACCAGCGCCCCCGAGAGCAGCAGGAGGAGGGTGGGGGGCCTCTGCACCCGCATCCTGGCCGTTTGGGGGGCGTCTGAGTCCGGGCGCTTCCGCGGAGGACTTATAACCGGGAGCCGCGGGACGCTGATTGGCTGCTGTGGAAACGGCTCAGGCAATGGGCGTGGGAGATGGGAAAAGGCGCCCAAATCTTGTTGACACAATACGAGGTTTTCAGATCAAAGATTGAGTTCATAATCACAGAGGTAATTGGAAAGCAAGGTTTTACTGAGAGAGGCAGGCGCTGGCGTCAGGCCTCAACACAGGCATTGTCTGGAACAGCGGGGAGGGGACCCAAAGAGGTCTGTCTATAGGGTGGAGGGAGCTGTGTCTATATGGTGCAGAGAGCTGTCTGTCTATAGGTTGGAGGGAGCTGTCTGTCTATAGGGTGGAGGGAGCTGTCTGTCTATAGGGTGGAGGGAGCTGTCTGTCTATAGGGTGGAGGGAGCTGTCTGTTTAAAGGGTGGAGGAGCTGTCTGTCTATAGGGTGGAGAGATTTGTCTGTCTATAGGGTGGAGGGAGCTGTATATAGGGTGGGGGAGCTGTCTATAGGGTGGAGGGATCTCTCTGTCTATACGGTGGAGGGAGCTGTGTCTATATGGTACAGAGAGCTATCTGTCTATAGGGTGGAAGGAGCTCTCTGTCTATAGGATGGGGGGAGCTGTCTGTCTATAGGGTGGAGGGAGCTGTCCATATATAAGGTGGGGGGACTTGTCAGTCTATAAGATGGAGTGAGCTGTGTGCCTATAGAGTGGAGGGAGCTGTCTGTCTATAGGTTGGAGGGAGCTGTCTATAGGGTGGAGGGAGCTGTCTATAGGGTGGAGGGAGCTGTCTGTCTATAGGGTGGAGGGAGCTGTCTGTCTATAGGGTGGAGGGAGCTGTCTGTCTATAGGGTGGAGGGAGCTTTCTGTTTAAAGGGTGGAGGAGCTGTCTGTCTATAGGGTGGAGAGATTTGTCTGTCTATAGGGTGGAGGGAGCTGTATATAGGGTGGGGGAGCTGTCTATAGGGTGGAGGGATCTCTCTGTCTATACAGTGGAGGGAGCTGTCTGTCTATAGGTTGGAGGGAGCTGTCTATAGGGTGGAGGGAGCTGTCTATAGGGTGGAGGGAGCTGTCTGTCTATAGGATGGGGGGAGCTGTTTGTCTATAGGGTGGAGAGAGCTGTCTGCCTATAGGGTGGAGGGAGCTGTCTGTCTATAGGGTGGAGGGAGCTGTCTGTCTATAGGGTGGAGGGAGCTGTCTGTCTATAGGATGGGGGGAGCTGTTTGTCTATAGGGTGGAGAGAGCTGTCTGCCTATAGGGTGGAGGGAGCTGTCTGTCTATAGGGTGGAGGGTGCTGGCTGTCTATAGGGTGGAGGGAGCTGTCTGTCTATAGGGTGGAGGGAGCTGTCTGTCTATAGGGTGGAGGATATCTCTGTCTATAGGGTGGAGGGAGCTGTCTCTCTATAGGGTGGAGTGAGCTGTCTATCTATAGGTTGGAGGGAGCAATCTATAGGGTGGAGGGAGCTGGCTGTCTATAGGGTGGAGGGAGCTGGCTGTCTATAGGGTGGAGGGAGCTGTCTGTAGGGTGGAGGGAGCTCTCTCATGGTGTTGGTTCTTCCCTCCCCAGTCAGGTTGCTTCAGCAACTCCTGCCTAGCTGGGTTTTCACCCAGCCGGGTTGCCTTAGCAACTAGTCAGCAAACTGCATCCTGCTATTCTTGGGCTTCGATTTTCCTTCTCTGCTGTCCCATCTTTAACTATGTAGCTCTCTTCCATCTGCTCAAAGACAGGGGCTGCAGCCACCAATGCGGCCTCTCTCCCTGGCCAGGGAGCACAGAACACCCCTTTTGGGGAACAGGGCACCTGCGGCCCAGAGAGGCAGTCTTGTTGCCTCAGGTCGCACAGCAAGTAGGCAGGAGGCCCTGGGGGAGTAGATGGGCTCCCATTAGGGCAACTCCTCTGCATGCACAGGAACAGGGATCGTCATCAGGTGTGTGTGTGTGGGCGGGGGAGAGACAGGGAGGTCAGTTCAGGGCCGGCGCCACAAGGAAGGGCAGAGAGCGCCTCCAAAAGAACAAGGAGGATGGTCAGCGCTGCGACCCTGATCCGGGAGGCAGGACAGAGGGAGGTGAAATTCTTCCCCATCTCACCAGCTCGGGCATCTCCATTCCGCATCCCTAGCCACTTGGGCCCCCACCCCCACTCCCTACCTGGCCTAGGCACCGCTTAGAGCCTCTCTATCCGCCCAGCAGAGGTCTCTGCTGCCCTGGCTCCTCTAGCCCCGCATCTCTATGATCCAAGCATTTCCCTCCTGGCTTTGCCCAGTGCCTGGGCTCAGCGCCAATGTCCCAGAGGCAGTTCGCAGTGTGGAGGCCTCTCTCTCTCTCTCTCTCTCTCTCTCTCTCGTCTGAACACAGCAGAAACCAACTCAAGAGACACAGGAAGTTGGCCAGCCAAGGAGGGGCTGCGGGAGGGCTCCAGGGTGGGTCAGGCCTGTCTCAGTTCCAGTGGGCTGGACCCCTGCTGCAAGCTAACCTACCAGTTGGAGCACCTGCTCCTAGTGGTCAGTGCACATCATAGCAACTGGTCGACAGATTGACTGTCTGGCCCCTGGTGGTCAGTGCATGTCATAGAGAGCGGTTGAGCGACCTTAGCAGATCATTAGCATACTAGAGGCCCTTTGCATGAAAATTCGTGCAATAGTAGGCCTTTCCCATGCTCCTGGCACCTGCTTCCTTCCAGAACCTTCCTCAGGATGCCCGCAGGCACCCGGGACCCGGGCTGTCTTCCCTCGGGCTGTCCGCAGGCAGCTGGAACCCAGCCGGCTTCATCAGGAATGACATCTGGTCTAATTAGCATATTACCCTTTTATCATTATAGATTACACTTTGATTGGTTGAATGGCTGACCAGACACTTAGCATATTAGGCAAATATATATAATTGATTTTTTACAGAGAGGAAAGGAGAGAGATAGGGTTAGAAACATTGATGAGAGAGAAGCATCGATCAGCTGCCTCCTGCACACCCCCACCACAGGGCATGTGCCAGAAACCAAGGTACATGCCCTTGACCAGAATCAAACCTGGGACCCTTCAGTCCTCAGGCCAACACTCTGTCCACTGAGCCATACCGGTTGGGGCATGATTTGTGTTTTTAATAATTACTTCTCATAACTCACAGCTAGGGTCCAATATTCTATTTCTGTCCCTAACCGGCCCAGGACTGTGCAGTCCACGGGACAATGAGGAAACCCAGAGCGGACACTGAGTGAGTTACCGGCAAGAAGACGGCCAAGTCTCATCATTCTCACAAACCGAGGCCGGCGAGGGGTAGCCACTGGCCCCCGGTCACACAGCCGGTTAGGCTCGGCTTGGGTGACGCTTCCACAGGGCTGGAGAGAAGTGAGGAGCAGATCGAGGCTGCACCTGACCCTCTGTCCTCCAGGTGGGGGTGTGCAGGAGGCAGCAGTCCGTGATTCTCTCTCATCATGGATGCTTCCAGCAGGATCGCTTGCTAAAGGCATCTGTTTGGTGCCCCAATCCGCAATGGGTTCAGTCTCCCCTGGGTAGGGTCCCCCTGATCCCGAACCCCCAGGATAGAGGAGCAGGTACGGGACGCCCGGTGGGTGGGTGGGTGCCAGCACGGACCATCCAGGTGGAGCGAGGTGTTTGCCTGAGCGAGGCCCTGGGTCTTGAGACAGGAAGCAGCTGGAAGGCCTGCAGGGACCCGGGGCAGCCATGAACCCATGGGGTCAGCGCCTCCGCCTTCCTGGCTGTCCTCTCACGCCCACGGGAATGTGTGCGGGTGCCCTATGCTCTTGAGGTCAACCAGCAGGAGTTGGCCTTGACTCAGGGCAGGAGCTGAGCCCGCAGGAGGAGTAGTGGCCGGGTAGGGAAACCCTGGTTCTCCAGGAGGAAGTCACGGTCACCCTTAAGCCGGAGGAGCCGCTGCAGGGAGGTGGGGAGCGGTGGGCCCAGGGCCGAGGCGGCCACAGGACCTGCCTGCACCCCCCTATCTGCTTACCTACGTCATCCTTCTTCCCCTGTTCCCTCAACTCCTCATCTCCCCGGGCAGCTGGGGGGTCCCGGGGCCTTGTCTGTGCCCAGACTCTACGTCCCCGCTTCCCCGAGCTCCCAGGACGGCCACCGCTATCGTCATCCGTCAGCCGTCAGCCTCCCACGGGGTGTGCTGGGGTCTCTCACCCCCGTCGCACCCATGTGGCCACATAGTCCTTCACTCCATCGCCCTCCACCTCCTCCTTCAAACCCCCGGCCGGTCTTCTCGTTCCTGCCTCTGCATCCCACCTGCTCGGGGCAGGAGCCTTTCCATCCTTGGGGGATGCGAAGCAGCCGCCCGGACTCTTTTCCCAGCGACGCCGGAAGCGGTGGGAGCCAGCCTTCTGGGCCCTCGGGCTCAGATTCGCAAGAAGACGGAAGGTGTTCACGTGAAAGCCCACCGGCCGGAAACACAGGCTTCATGCAACAGTTCCGAAGCCTTCTAGTTCCGCTGGCCTGCATCTCGGTCGTTCTGTGCAACGGATGCTCGTTCAGTGCCTCCTCTATGCCAGCTTCTGTGGCTAAAAGGGGGACTGAACCAGACCCAAGTCGCACCTGCCTTCCTCCCTTTAGCAGCCGCAGTTCGTATCGTTATTTGGTACGTGCTGCAAACAGGAGCTCGCCTAGGCCTCCAGGGGGCGACAAAGACCAAAATATGTATGGAAATGTCCCTGTAGAGCACCTGGTAGGAATACAACTGGAAGGCTGAAATTCAGAAAGGGCCTGGATGCAGAATGTTGTATAGATCAGCAGAACCCGGTTTGGCTCAGTGGATAGAGCTTTGGCCTGCGGACTGAAAGGCCCCAGGTTAAATTCTGGTCAAGGGCATGTACTTTGGTTGTGGGCACATCCCCAAAGTGGGGTGTGCAAGAGGCAGCTGATTGAAGTTCCTTTCTCATTGATGTTTCTGACTCTCTCTTCCTCTCTGTAAAAAATAAATAAAAATGATTTAAAAAAAAAACTGTTGTACAGGTCAGTTCCAAAGGTGAAGGTCCTCTGGTGTCTCAAACAAAATGAAGCGAATGGTGCTTGGGTTCCCGATGACCCCTCCCTGGCACAGGTCCTTCTTTTTAAAAAATATATATATATTTCATTGATTTTGTACAGAGAGAAAGGGAGAGAGATAGCTAGAAACATCGATGAGAGAGAGTCATCAATCAGGTGCCTCCTGCACACCCTGTACTGGAGATGTGCCCGCAACCAAGGTACATGCCCTTGACCGGAATTGAATGCGGGACCTTTAACTTCGCAGGCCTATGCTCTATCCACCGAGACAAACCGGTTTACGGTGGGAGATTTTTAATTTTAAAAAAATTAAAATTTTTTATTATATTTCTTGATTTCAGAGAGGGCGGGAGAGGGAGTGAGTGGGTGACATAGAGGCCAGCTCTGTCCCAGGTGCTGCCGGAAATGCCAGTCTCTTCCCAGACCTCACACCAGCCTGCAGCCCCGCCCACCAGCGATGCTGCTTGCGGAATCTCTTTCTGGAAACGGACATGAAAATCCTTGTTTGTAGATTTAGCTTCACTGTGTGAGCTGGAGCCACTCAGAGCAGGCCAGTGGTCGGCAAACTCATCAGTCAACAGAGCCAAATATCAACAGCACAGCGATTGAAATTTTTTTGGAGAGTCACATTTTTTAAACTTACGCTTCTTCTAACGCCACTTCTTTAAAATAGACTTGCCCGGGCCGTGGTATTTTGTGGAAGAGCCACACTCCAGGGGCCAAAGAGCTGCCTGTGGCTCTCGAGCCGCAGTTTGCCAACCACTGGAGCAGGCGATGACAAAAACCTGCCATGGGTAACACCAGCAAACGTTATTCTATTCTGGTGAGGGTCAGCTGACACCCAGAGCCTATTAAGCTGGTGAAGAGGAGAACTCCTAGCCCAGCCCGTGTGGCTCATGGTTGAGCGTGGCTCTTGGAACCAGGAGGTCACGGTTGGATTCCCTGTCAGGGCACAGGCCCAGTGCGGGGCGTGCGGGAGGCAGCCGATCAATGATTCTCTCATCACTGATGTTTCTATTTCTATCTCCCTCTCCCTTCCTCTCTGAAATCAATAAAAATAGTTTTTAAGCCGAAACCGGTGTGGCTCAGTGGATAGAGCATCGGCCTGCAGACTGAAAGGTCCCGGGTTCGATTTCAGTCAAGGACATGTACCTTGGTTGCAGGCACATCCCCAGTGAGGGATGTGCAAGAGGCAGCTGATCGATGATTCTCTCTCATCAATGTTTTCTAACTCTCTATCCCTCTCTCTTCCTCTCTGTAAAACATCAATAAAATATATTTTTAAAATATTTTTTAAAGAGAAGTAGGGTCTTAGCTATTTTGGTTCGATGAATGGAGCGTCAGCCTGCGGACTGAGGGGGTTCCAGGTTCGATTCCGGCCAAGGGCACGTGCCTGGGTTGTGGGCTTGATCCCCAGTGGGGGGTGTTCCGGAGGCAGCCGATCAGTGATTCTCTCTCATCATTGATGTTTCTGTCTCTCTGTCCCTCTCCCTTCTGAACTCTAAAATCAATAAAATGTGCCGAAACCGGTTTGGCTCAATGGATAGAGTGTCGGCTTGGGGACTGGGGGGTCCTGGGTTCGATTCCGGTCAAGGGCATGTGCCTTGGTTGCGGGCATATCCCCAGTGGGGGGTGTGCAGGAGGCGGCTGATCGATGACTCTCTCTCATCGATGTTTCTAACTCTCTATCCCTCTCCCTTCCTCTCTGTACAAAAATCAATAAAATATATTTTTAAAAAAATAAATAAAAATAAAATCAATAAAATGTATCTTTTTTTAAAGAGAGAGAGAGAGAGAGAGAGAAATTGGCAGCCCTAAACGGTTTGGCTCAGTGGATAGAGCATCAGCCTGCGGACTGAAGGGTCCCGGGTTCGATTCCGGTCAAGGGCATGTACCTTGGTTGCAGACACATCCCCAGTGGGGGATGTGCAGGAGGCAGCTGATCAATGTTTCTCTCTCATCGATGTTTCTAACTCTCTATCCCTCTCCTTTCCTCCCTGTAAAAAGTCAGTAAAACATATTTAAAAACAAAAAGAGAGAGAAATTGGCATTCCCCCAGCGTCCCTCGGGGCTGTCTCCTGTGTGTGTGTGTGGGGGGGGGAAGGTGACAGGTGGGGTTACTCAGGTTACCTGAAAGCCCCGCCCACCCCAGTGCGCCTGCGCGGTGGCTATGACGCCAGCGCTAGCCCCGCCCCCTTCCAAGGCGACCGCAGGCCAAGTGGGCGGGGCCTGGGCACAAGATGGCCGCGGAGCGCCGGGAGCCGCCCCAGAGTCCGGGCTCAGCGGCCCGGGCGCCGCGCTCCCCGGAGCTGCCAGACCTGGTGCGAACGCGGAGGGACGTGGGCCAGGGGCTCCCGGCGGGAGGAGGCCGCGGGGCCGGGGCGGGGCCGGGGCGGGGCCGGGGCGGGGCCTCTGAGGCTGGGCCGGTGGGGAGGTATTTAGAGCCGTGGCCTGGGGGCGGGGTTTCTCAGGTGGAGCCGGGGGCGTGGCCTGTGGCGGAGCCAATGGCGGGTGGGGGCGTGGCTTAGCGGGCGGGGCCTGGAGAACATCTGGGCGGGGGGGGGGGAATGGATCCAGGTGTTGAATGTGTCAGATTAGGGGGCGGGGCCTCAAGAGGGGCGGAGCCTCCATGAGACTGCGGGGCCGTGGGCCGGGGTGGAGGCTGGGAAGGTGATCGATCCTAGGGCGGCCACGATGGCGTGGGGGTGTGATTCTCTGTAAGGGCCTGGGTGACGCGCCCCGAATTCCCCAAGGGAGGATGCTTGAGGGAGAAATCACTGCTCCAGGGGGCTTCCAGAACACTCTCAGCCCCCCCCCCCCACTGGGGACTGGAGAGTGAGGACACTCATTCACTCATTCACTCATTCCAGGAACATTTCCTGAGCTGCTTACTTGGGGGTTCACAGATGGGTAGCTGAGGGAGGCAGATGAGGACTGCTCGCCTGCAGCTTGCAGACTAGTTGGTGGGGGAGAGAGGCGTTGAGGGGAGATGGACGGATTGTGCTGCGTTCCGGAAAGGAAATAAAGACGGAATGGGGGTGGTGGTGGTGGTGGAGCTAAATTTAGAGCAGTCAGCTGCGTGCCTGCCGGCTTCTGTTTACACCGGGCCCGCGAGATAAGCAGGAGCAGGTGGCGGCGGATGGATATTCCTAGGCGGTTCTGGGGAATTTTTAAGCGCAGTTGGAGCCACGGAGCGTTTTGAGCGGGAATTGACTTGATCCGGTTTCCATTTGCCAAAGGTCATTCCGGCTGTTGGCGAGATTGGGCCACCGGGAGCGGGCCAAGCACAGAGGGCCCATTCAGGATGCCCTTTTCAGTCGAGGCCGGACATGGCTGCGTTTTTTTCGTTTTTTTTAATATTCTAATTTTTACAGAGAGGAAGGGTGAGGGATAGAGAGCCAGAAACAGGACCAGCTGCCTCCTGCGCGCACGCGCACACACACACACACACACACACACACACACACACACACCCCACACACCCCACCGGGGATGTGCCCACAACCAAGGTACATGCCCTTGACCGGAATCGAACCTGGGACCTTTCAGTCCGCAGGTCGACGCCCCATCCACTGAGCCACACGGGTTTTGGCCCGGGAGTGGAAGTCTTAATGGGGCTTAGAGCAGAACCTAGAATGTAGGGATGCAAAGGAGAGGAGGCTTTCAAGAAGTGGGGCGTGTTGGGGAGGAGGGGGTTTGGAGGCCTTGAGGCCGGGTCCACAGGCTCCTCTCTTCTCCCCCGGCCCCCACCCCAGGTCCTGGTGCCCGCGGACGACAGCCCCGCCACGCCCCCGCCCGACCTCATCGAGATCCAGGTGGTGAGGGTGACGGACAGCACGCTGGCGCCGGAGCCCCCGGAGCCGGGCTCCCTGCACTGTGCCTTGTGCCCCGCCGCCTTCCGCCTGGTCTCCGAGCTGCTGTTCCACGAGCACGGCCACCTGGCCGGCGCCGGGGCGGGGGCCGGGGGCGGCGGGCGGCGGGGCGCGGACCCCGGCCGGTGCCACGTGTGCGGCCACAGCTGCGCGGGCCCCGCCAGCCTCCGCGCGCACTACAGCCTGCACACCGGGGAGCGCCCGTTCCGCTGCCCGCTCTGCCCCCGCGCCTTCGGGGCGCTGGCGGCCCTGCTGCGGCACCAGCTCCGGCATGGCGCCGAGCCGGGAGCCCCTCGGAGGCCCCCCGATCCCCCAGCGGCGGGGACTCGGGCACCGGGGCCCGGGGTGGCCCCGGAGCGCCCCAAGGCGGCGGCGCTGGTGGCCCTGGGGAAGCCGTTCGCCTGCCGGTTCTGCGCCAAGCCGTTCCGCCGCTCCTCGGACATGCGCGACCACGAGCGGGTGCACACGGGCGAGCGGCCCTACCACTGCGGCGTGTGCGGCAAGGGCTTCACGCAGTCCTCGGTGCTGAGCGGCCACGCGCGCATCCACACCGGCGAGCGCCCGTTCCGCTGCGTGCTCTGCGCCCGCACCTTCAACAACTCCTCCAACTTCCGCAAGCACCAGCGCACGCACTGCCGCGGCCCGGGGCCCGGGCCCAGGCCCAGGGACGCCGGGAGCCAGCCGGCGGCGGGGGCCGAGGGACCTGGGAGCCGGCCGAGTGGGGTGGGAAACACGCGAGAACAGGGGTCTGGGGAGACGGCGATCATGCAGGCGAAGGTTGACCAGTAGGCTGGCCCCAGGGCGGGCGGAGGGCGGCGGGCTGCAGGGGGAGGGGTCGGCTGGGACCAGGAGGAGGTGACAGACAGAAGAGGGGAGACTGGGGGAGAGCAGAGAGGCATTCCAGCTAAATGCCACGCTCAGGGCTCCCACAAACCCGCGGGGCAGGCAGCCCATTGGATGTCCAGCTAAATGCCAGGAACATGGGCTGAGCGTCTGGCCTGCTGGCCTGCCTGCCTATTGGGTCTAGTTGGTACAGGACAGAGCCTGCGCCCTCTGCAGGGGGAGCCAGGGCTGAGGGGACGGGCAGGTGCGGGGTCCATCCCAGTGTCCCCGGCCAGCCCTTCATCGCTGGCCCCTGAACTGTCTCGGGGCGGAGGGCGGGCCAGGAGGGGACCCTCTGCCTACCTCGCTGGATGCACTGAACACGGGAGCCGCCATGAAGGTCCTCCACAAAGAGACTGGAACCCCGTCACCTCAAGCCAGGGGCCCCTCAAGTCATTGACTAGAGCATTTGAGCCTCCGAAGTTCAGCCTGACCGTCCAACTGATCGTAAAGATCTCTGCTGCAAGAGCTGCTGTCCCTGTTCCCATGGCGACCCCCCAACGCACCAGACTCCTCTTCTGGGGCAACTGAGATCCAGGCCGCCAACGCCCCCTCAAACCAGCTCCTAAGGTGTATCTCAGCCCACCCCACCCAGCTCTACGGAATGCCTCAGGGGTCTCTAATCGCCGCTCCCGACCTGAAGCCAACAGCTGACTGCCTGGCCCCCAGCTGCCCCCAGGCCCGCGGCTGGCCAGCGCGTGGCAGCTGAGCCGTGAGAGCCGGGTGAGGGGAGGATTTGGGTGTGGGAGGCGGGCGGCCTCCAGTCCGATCCGATTAAAGGGCTTTCGGAAGGGTCTCTCCAGGTCGGTCTTGTGTTTGGATTGTCTGTTCGGGGGAGAGAAGGGGGCTGGGGGTCCAGGGGCCACGCTGCGGTATTGCTACCAACTGGGGACTGCAGCGCCCTTTCCCCAAACCTCCTCAGGGCGGGGTGGACGTGGACGGTGTCCCGCTATCAGAGGGATGTGGGTGCAGCCATGGGAGTGGGCCCAGGGGTGCTGGCAAACGGAGGGGCCCTGTGATCAGTGGGAAGGAAGGGGAGCCCGGGTTTGCTCACACTCCTGCTCCCCCAGCGCTCCCCAGGAGAGAGGAGGTGCCCCATCATAACGTGAACCCCACTTTCTGTTTCCCCAAAGCAATGCCTGCATGTCCTCTCCCTACGCCTGGGCGGAAGCCTGGGCCTGTCGCTTGAGCTTCACCCTCATCCTCTATCCAATCCCTTTCCTCGTCCTGCTCCAGAGCCAGTAGCATTCCTTCGGGACCTGAATGCCCCTTTGCACCATCACTGCTGAACACCAATACCAGGGGGTGAGGCCTGGCCTGGGGGTGTCCAAGCAGCTGCCCGGCCTCCAGGCACTGCGTCCATTCTCCATCCCACAGCCGGTGCCTCCTGCAGACATGGATCCCACCGTCTCCCACCCGCAGCGGCTCTGAGAAGGGACCGGAAGCCTGGGTGCCTCTGGGGCGGAGGGGAATGAGGGCAGCGGGTCCCAGGGGAGCTACGGAGACTGGCACTGGGGCTCAGAGTTGGGGTTGGGGACGTGGGGGCCAGTGACAGATGGGAGAATGGGGGCCCCCGTCAGCACGGCTCCCTCGCTCTGAGGGAGGCAGGCTGGGCCGGGAGCACCTCCATTGTCCAGCAGCTCATACGATGTAAACGGTTTTCATTTTCAAATGGTGGCAACCACATCCACATTATTGGACATTTTTCTTTGTTTTCAATCTATTTTTATGGTTTTCAGAGAGGAAGGGAGAGGGAGAGAGAGAAACATCAATGATGAGAATCATGGATCAGCTGCCTCCTGGACCGAGTCCACAATCCAGGCATGCGCCCTGATCAGGAATCAAACTGATGGATGCTCAGCTGCTGAGCCACGCCGTGGGGCTGGTTTTGTGTTTTTTGTTTGCTTGTTTTTAAATATATTTTTATTGATTTCAGAAAAGAATGGAGAGGGAGAGAGAGAAACATCAATGATGAAAGAGCTTCATTGATCAGCTGCCTTCTGCACATCCCACACTAGGGATTGAGCCCATAACCGGGCCTGTGCCCTGACCGGGAATTGAACCCTGACCTCCTGGTTCATAGGTTGACACTCAACCACTGAGCCACGCCGTGGGGCTGGTTTGGGTTTTGTTTTCACGCACCGGCTAACCAGAATGTGTCAGGGGCGTGGGCCAGGCGGCACTGGCCAGCTCCCAGAGTCGGGTCATCCAGCTCCTTTGGATCACCTTCCCACACCCCACCCCTCCCACGTGACCTAATCTGTGCGAAGCTCTCCAGGATGGTGAGGTTTGGCCAGACACGCCAACCCTGCCCCTGGCATCCTTGCCCCGCGGCACCTGGCTTCCTGTGGTGGCTCAGGAGCCGCTTTCTCCGCCCCGAAGCTGGTTTGGCCCTGGAGTCTGGTCAGGTGACTCCTCCGTGCCCCCCCAGCCCGCTGCTCCACATCCGGTGACTGCTGAGCCTGGGACACTGGGTCTCCGGCATCACAACATGGTGGTCCCTTCCAGTGTGTGTGTGTGTGTGTGTGTGTGTGTGGAGGTGGGCTGGGAGGTCAAACTAGACTCGCCCCCGGGCAGGCAGTGCCCCCGACCAGCTTTGTCTTCGTCCCACTCGGAGGCGCGTGGGGCTGCAGGGCCAGCTCGGGGACCCCGCCGGCTGTCCTTGGAGCCCCCTCCCCCAGGGCCTCAGCCTCCTCCCGGACAAAGGGGAAACCACGTTGCACGCCTCCCACTCTCCTGAGAACCCGGACAAGGGCCGTGAGGGCTTTGGAAGGAACGCCCCCAAATTGTCCTGGAGAGGCAGGCGCCTGAGCAGCCTGTGGCTCCGCCGGGGGCCGGAGCGCACCGCGGAGGCCAGGACGTCCCTCCCGCCGTCTCTCCCACTAACAAGGGGCCGGTTCTGGCGCCCAGCGAGGCGGCGCGGAAGGGGCTTCGGGCGCTACTGGCTGAGAACAGATGCCAGGGCGCCTGGAGGGGAAGGAGCTGGGCGCGCTGGCATTTCCCGAGGGCGCCTTACCCGCCTTGGATGTGGGGGTCCCTCAGTAACAGGGGGGGGAGGGGGAGGGCGCGGGGCGAGGTGAAGGACGTGGGAGAGTCAGAGTCCCAGGGAAGCAGGTGAGCTCACCCTTCCCTCGGCCAGCACCGAACCCGAACCCGGAGCCCCGGCTTCTGGCGGTGAGGAAGGACTCCGCCGCCCCGTGATACGTTTATTGTCTCTGCTCTGTACAAGCCGTGTCTGCTGCCCCGCCCCCCTCCCCACAACCCGAAAGGGCACCCCGGCCCCCTGGCGCCCGCCCCCGCTCCACTCCAACCCCACTGTCCGGCCGGAAACCACGGGAGGAGAGGGGGGGGGAGGTCCTGCCAATCTCCACCGGAGCTCGTGTGGGGACAGAGCGCCGCTGGGCGGCTGCTGGGGGTTACAAAACGGGTCAGACGGGGGATCAAGTTCAGGGTCAGACGGGATGGGAGGGGGGCCGGAGGGGTCCGGGTGGGAGTGACTCGGCCCGGGGTTTGCACAGCGGGCCGGGCTTCCTGAAGTCCCGAAGGATGGCGGGAGAGACAGCGCGAAGGAGGCGGCCGTCTGACCGGCGGCCGGGGCGGGGCGCGCCTGGACGGGTCCATCCGAGCGCAGCGGCGCCTGGGAAGCCGCCCAGGGGGTCAGGCCTCCTTCCCGGCCAGGGCGCCGGCCCCCGCTCCCGGCCCCGCCAGGCCCTCGGCCTTGTGCGCCAGGCGGTGCTTCTTGAGGCCGTAGGTGTTGGCGAAGCCCTCGCCGCAGGAGGAGCAGCGGAAGGGCCTGCCGCCCTGGTGGGCCGCCAGGTGCTTGCGGAAGTAGCCGGGGTCCTTGAAGGCCTTGAGGCAGGCGGGGCAGCGCAGCTCGGGCCGCGGCGGCTCGTGCGCGCGCTGGTGGCGCAGCACGGAGCTCAGGTAGAAGAAGCCCTTGCCGCAGTGCTCGCAGCGGTAGGCGCGCTCGCCCAGGTGCAGGCGCTGGTGCTCCAGCAGGTTGGAGCGGTAGCGGAAGGTCTTGCCGCAGGCCCCGCAGCGCTGCGGCCGCGCCACGGCGTGCAGCCGCCGGTGCTCCGCCAGGCTGGACGACTGCGCGAAGCGCTTGGCGCACACGCCGCACTTGAAGGCCCGCTCGCCCGTGTGCACCACGCGGTGCTGCCGCAGGTACCAGGAGCGCAGGAAGCCCCGGCCGCACACGCCGCACCGGTAGGGCCGCTGCTCCGTGTGGCAGCGCTGGTGGCGCATGAGCAGGGCCGCCTCCCAGAAGCGCTTGCCGCACACCGGGCAGCGGAAGCCGCGCTTCTGCCGGTGGCTGCGCCGGTGCAGGAGCAGGTCGTAGGCGCCCGCGAAGCTCTGGCCGCACAGCCCGCAGCCCAGGGTCCGGCGCACGAGGTGCACGTACTTGTGGGTGACCAGGCCCAGGAAGTGCTTGAAGCTCTGGCCGCAGGTGGCGCAGCTGAAGCGCTCGGGGCCCGAGCTGGCGCCCCCCGCGCCCCCGGCCCCCGCCGTGCTGCCGGCGTCCTCGCCCCCGGACACCCCTGCCAGCGCCGCCACGGCCGCCCCCACCTCCCCGGCCAGCCCGTTGTCCAGCATGCTGGCCGCCTCGGCGGCGCCGCCCGAGCCGTCGGCGGGCTGCTGGCCGCCGGCCGCGGGCGGGAGCAGGCGCTCGGGGGCGGCCTGGTGCACCAGCTTGTGCCACATGAGGTTCTCGATGAAGCCGAACGTCTTGCCGCAGGCGTCGCAGCCGTAGGGCTTCTCCGTCATGTGGGCTTCCTTGTGGCTCATGACGTGGAAGAGGTCGGGGAAGTGCTCGCCGCAGTCGGAACAGGCGTAGCTCAGGGCCTCGGCGGCCCCCGCGCCCGCGGAGCCCGGGCCACAGGCGCCCGGCGCGCCCTGGGGGCCGG